TCGTGCTTAGCAATGGGCTGCTCAGCTACTACAGGTACCGGGGCCGGGGGCCGGGCAGGGGCCGCCGGGAGGGGGGATGGACCGCGGGGGCTGCGCTGTTGCACAGCGAAAATCGTCGCGTACTGTTTTGTTTGGGCTTTTTTTCCTCTTTTAAAGCCAAACTCGGGTTTTGATCCTGCAGAGCCGCGGGGGTCCAGCGGGGCCCCGGGATGATGGATCGCCCTGGATCTCCCATCCTTCTCTCTTTCTCCATCCCTCCGCTCCTGGTGCAGCAGCTCCGGCTGCTACAGCTGCCCAAATCACACCCTTCCATCCAAACACCCCAAACCCTCCTCCCTTAGCTGTGTAACCTGCTCCTGGTCCTGCTGTACCCTGCCGGACCCTGCGGGTCCTTCCCCAGCGGTGCCCGCGGCTGCGGGCGCTGCGGTGGCGGTGCAAGCGTGGCCTGGGATGCTGTGCTGGGAATGTCGGCCTTGGGAAGGCAGCCCAGGCTGGGGCTGCGCTCCTGGGGGGCTGAAGGAAGCTCCAGCAGCTGCTCCGAGCCGTGCCTGGCTCCCGGCGCTGTCTGACGGGCTGTGGGCTCGGCGAGGAGCGTGTCAGACACCCCGAGGCTGAATCCAAAGCGGTGTCATCTTCGTAGCGTCTCTTGTGCTGCTTGTCTCACTTGGGCGGTGAAAATACAAATGTGGATGTTGGTGTTGTTATCCTCCCTGTGTATGGTAGCAGGTGGAACGACAGGAGCTTTAAGGTCCCTTCCCACCCAGACCATTCAGGGGTTCTGTGATTTGGATTATGTTTATCCTTCTCACTGGGAACACAAGTGCTCTGTCACCCTCGGTGTTGTGCAGCAGATGTTGGCTGTATTTCAGGACTGGGAAACAATCCTGAATATTAAAGATGGTTAAAAGCTTTATAAAATAGTAACTCTTTAAAGTGCCAAACCCCCTGAGACAGGAATTCTCTATAAAGGTTGTGCCAAAGCTGTTTTTCCTCCCGACATAAAGTTCATCAGCTGATTTCCTCCTAGCTCCAGCTGCTGACACGTAGCCTGAAGCAGATTGCAGAGCTCCAGCTCCCTGTCAGATGTGAATATAAACTCTTCCAGCTCTAAGAGACCCCTGGAACCTGGGTTCCAGGGCCAGACTACAGCAGGTAACAGTGCAGAAGATAAATGATGTGGTTATCTACTTGGAGTTGTTGAAAACCCTCAAAGAACTTAAGCCAAACAACCTCCCCCCAAAAATATGTAATTACCTCTCAGTAATTCAGCTAATTTACTGTAATCCTTTCTGGAATGCCCTAACTCTGCTCAAAAAGGCTGTTGGAGTTTAACACCCCATTTGTAGCCATGTCAGAATATTATTTTTGCGTGTTGATGCCGAGTCTGTTGTGAGTGAACAAGTGGTTTTCTTCAACAATTATTTTAGATGGGAACAACCTGGTTTATTTTGAGACCATTTGATCTGTTTTAGGCTGAAGCAACAAACAGAAACACCCAAGGAAATTATTCTGAGCTGCATGTGAAGGAGTTGAAAGTTTGTGAAGCTTTCAGGCAGGGCAGACCTTCAGCAGCTGCTTGGGGAAAAGGATGCTGGAGGATTTTGTGCTTCTTTTCATCTCTGGGCTTGATGACAACTGAATTAATTTGGTTGTGAGTCAGGAGTACAAAAATACAGTGCAGAACACGTGGTGAAGCCTTTCCTAAGTGGAGAAAAGCCTCCATGATACTCTTCAAACCCAGCACTCTGAAATAGTGCCTGTGTCAGCTGGAATTGCTCATCTGGGAGCGCTCCTGGGAGACAGTCTGGGGTAAAACCTGGCACTTCTGTTTTGATAGGAGTTCTAGCTCCATGACAGGAGCCAGGCAGGTGTCAGGCTGCTGCCTGTTCACTGAGAAAGAGCATCTATCTGTATTTGTCTATCTGTAAATGTTCTATAGAGGTCCCTGGCATTCGGAGAGTCACGGGTCCTGCTTTCTGCTGGCTCTTTGTGCTCAGCCCAGCTCAGCAGGTCCCACAGCAGAAGTCTCCTTTCCTGCCCTTGCAGGTGAATTGCTGTGCTCTTCTCGTGTTGTCACCTTGGTAGTTGCGCCTGATTTAGCTGGGGCTGCTCAGGAGGAGCTTTGTAGAAACTTCATTTTGCTAAAATCATCTAAACTGGGAAGGCTGCCCCATGGTGCCCAGGCTGCCTCCTTGAGTGGATTGATTTTGTTCCAGGTTGAAGCTTTTTGTTGCATTTGGATTTCCTGCCTCTCGCTGTTCAGCTTTAAACCCCAGCCTGTCACGTTGCCTGGAGGGCTTTGGTGTGCAGAGCTGAGCTGCTGAAATCCCGGGTGTCCCCTTGGTGTCCCTGGAGGTGCTGCTGTGTGGGTGGCTGCTGTGCCATCCTCTGGAGCTGTTCTGAGTGAGAGGTTTGCTCCAGCAGCCCAGTGCGACGCCTGTTTGCTGCCCAGTTGGTTTCACAGGGACAGTTTGCTGAATTAAAGCTTCTAATTACAACATTTTCCCCAAATGGAGCATTTAAAGCCTCCTGTAGCTTTGCTACATCGATGAAGACATCAAGCCTTGCTGCCAGGGAAACTTCATGTGCCTTTGCTTTGTATTCCCTCCTCTGAACCTGTGAAAAACAACAACTGCTGAGGAATTCTTGAGGAGTCCCTGTGCAGTACCCTCCTCTGGAGGGAGGTGTGTGGGTTTAGGAAGTCCCTAAATCCACAGCAATATGGTTGGACCATTTCACATGCCCTTGATGGGTCCTCCTAGGTTGTTTTTGACCAAGTGTTTTGGCTGATTCAGTGATGCTGGCGTGGGAAGGCAGTTTGGGGATGCAGGACTAGTCTGCTTGACTTGCTAATGATCCAAACTCTCTGAACTCCTCTTGCTGCCACTCAGATTTGTCATTATCTATAATTAGCAGCTCTATGGGAGAATCTAATCACCTTGAACAGATAAGTGTTTTCAAGGAGATTAGAGAGGATCTGCAGGTGAGTATTAATTCATCAAAGACTGGCGTTGGCTCATGTGACCATGGATGCTCCAAGTGTTGTGTTCTCCCAGCAGCCTCTTGACCTTTCTGAGAGCTCTGGGATGTGTTGGCTCCTCTGTGGGATGGGCTGGAGCTGGGGTCCTGTGGGTTGGGTGTCTGGAGAGCCTTCACCAGTGCTTTGTGTGGGCATGGGGTGTAATGATGAAAGCAATGACAAATGGAGAGGAGAAAACCATGTTATTGCTGGGAAGGGAAAGGCTTCTCCATCAAGCAGCATTAACTCCCCTCTCTGAGCAGTGATGGGTGCCTGGGGCACTTTAGCTGTCTTGTCTGGGTCATCCTGCAGCTCATTTCCCTGGAAAAGCTGTGTTTCACAGAGCAGCATTCTTCACCAGCTCTGTTTATGCAGCACTTAACTCTTGGTTGGCATCAGGAGGGCTTGAGCACAACCCAGAGATGTTTTTTGTGCTGAGACTCCACTGAAAGCTGAGGAGGGGAGTTCGGGAAGGAGCTTGAGAACCTCTGCTGATGGTAGAGATGTGGGGGGGTTGAGGGAGCCCAGGAGGGACCTCTGGGAGCCCCCAGCCCTGCCAAGGCCACCACTGACCCATGTCCCCAAGTGCCACATCCACGTGGCTTTTAAGTCACTCCAGGGATGGGGACTCCAGCACTGCCCTGGGCAGTTGTGCCACCCTGACCACCCTTTCCATAAAGAAATTTTCCCAATATCCAACCTGACCCTGCCCTGTCCCAGCCTGAGGCCGTTCCCTCTGCTCCTGTCCCTGTTCCCTGGAGCACAGCCTGACTTCCCTGGCTGTCCCCTCCTGGCAGGAGCTGTGCAGAGCCACAAGGCTGAGCCCCTCCGGCTCCCTCAGCCCTCTCTCATCACACTTCTGCTCCAGCCTCTGAAATCTCCAAGGTGTGAGCTTGAAGAGCCTCTCCAGGCCCCTCTTCCAGTGTTGGACCACCCTTGGAGGGGAAAACTTTTCCTCACATTTAGCTTGTACCTGATAGAATGAGGCACCATGCTCTCCTGGAATGATTCCTGTGACACCCTGTCCCTGTGCAGACAATCCTGGAGTGTTTGTGTCTCTCTGGGTGCTGGAGCGTGCAGGTTTCCAGGGCAGCTCTGCAGTTCCTGGTGACTTTGAGCTACTTGTTTTTAAACAGTGATGAATAATTGGTGTTCCCAGTCAGCTTGTTTTCCCGTGGCACTCTCTGGATCCATATGGTGCTTTGCTGTTGTTCCTTGCTATTTGCCCATTCTGGAGCTGCTCCTTGCTGTGCTTTGTCCCTGGGGACATGGTGCTGCCACAGCTCCCTGGGGACACTGCATGGCCACAGGACACTTGGGGGTGCCATGGGGTGGGGGGCATGATGCTCTTGGGGCTGCTGGTTCCAGGCTGGGTTGCTCTGCTCCCAGTTAGTGCTGTGGGGGAGGTTGGGCTCTCTTCAGTCCAAACAGCAACTGCAGCTGACTCTGCAGGAGGGTGTGAGACAGGGATCTTCTCCTTAGGGATGTTTCCATCATGGCTTGGTAATTAGTGCTGGCTGAGGGGGTTTACAGCTGTTGCCTGGTTCTGTTTGCTGGTTGCAAACTGTGATAAGAGCCATGAAGCATCTTTTTCCTTTGTTTCTATACATATAATCTTCATTTGGCTAGATGGGATGGATGTCATCCCTCATCCCATATCCCTGCAGGTGTTCCAGGCCAAGCTGGGCAGGGCTTGGAGCAGCCTGGTCTTGTGGATGGTGTCCCTGCCCACGGCAGGGGAGTGGAACCTTTAGGATCCCTTCCCACCCAAACCATTCCATGATTCTGTACTGGCCAAATACTTAACTTGATGTAATTGTAGAAGAAATATAACTGATTTGACTAAACTGTGAAGGGGCAGAGAACTCTGGGTTTGTGTGGAGGTACAGCCGCCTGTGGTGCTGTCTCCATGTTGGGCACGAGGGGATCCCTCAGGTACCTTGGCTCCCACAGCAGTTTTCACTCCTGGAGCTGTTGGCAGGTGTGGAGGGTGTTTGTGGGCTCAGCTGCCTGGCTCCTTACCTGAGTGAGGTGCCTGTCACCCCATTCCAGCTGTGCCCTGGTCCAGGTTCCACTGCTGGAGCACACACTGTGCAGTTCTGCTGTGCTGTCCCAGGCAAGGGCTGGGGTCACTGTCCAGCCCTGCACTCTCCCCCACGGTGCTGCAGCTCCCTCAGCTCTGCTGGAGTGGGACAGCAGGGGCTGTGCTGGCCTTTAGGAGCAGAGGGTGGTGTGGACTGGCTCCTGCTCCAGGACTGTGCTCAGCCCTGGAAAACCCTTGCTCTAGCTGCTGTCATGTTGCTCCAGGAGCAGGCCGGCTGTCCTTTGCCTGCAGAGGTGACTGGCATCACCTGCCTCTTCCTGCAGCTCCCCTGCTTGTCTTTTTCCAGGGAAATATGCATTCAGCTCTGACTTGGCTTGCTCCAATTACAGGTTTAAGTTGGTGCTTGTATGGCCTGTCATCCTCTGTACCCACAGTGAGTCACTGGGGAAGGAGCTGATCCTTCTTGTCAGGAGTATTGTGAGGAACCTGCTGTGCTTTTCCATGCAGTATCCCTTGTATCCTGCCTCATTTTCCCCTGAAAAGGAGTTTCCAATCAGTGCAATGTGCTCTGAGCTCACCTCTGAATGACCACGATGTTCACTATCTGTAGGTTGAGTTATGCTGCAGCAGGTCAGACTACTGAGCTTCTCTGTATTTTCTGCTTGTGTATCAAATGTTGTGGCTGGGTAACTCAGCCTGGTAATTTTATATGCCTGAAGTGTTATCAGTGATATCAGAGCCCTCTGCTCCCTGCAGGTCTGTTCAGCTGATGGCCAACAGCTCAGGTTGTCACCCTGAAATGTGAGCTGTCCCAGCCTGCTATCAGAAGGGCAGGCAGCATCCTGGAGATTCACCCCTAAATAAGATAGTGCTTCCAAACCTGAGCTGCCTGGAGGTGTTAAATATCCCTTCAGGTCCTCATTATACTGTTCAATTATTGTGGCAGTTCCTACAGCACCGTGACAGAGATCTTTCTACGCTTTGCATCAGCCTTTGTTTGGTTTCACTCAAAAAGCTTGTTTAATAATTAATGCCACAACACTGCCGTGTCTGAGGGCTG